AAAAAAAAAAAAAAAAAAAAAAAAAAAAAAAAAAAAACCGCTAAATGATAACATTTGGAGAGCTTGCTGGTTGGTGAGCATATGCCCTTGCCAGGAGCACTGGTGCACCCCAGCTCCACAGGGACAGGAGATTCTGCGCTCAGGACCCTTCCAGACCTCACCCTATGTACCTTTTCATCTGGCTATTCCTATGTATCTGTTATCATATCCTTTTATAGTAAAGCAGTAAATGTAAGTGAGTGTGTTCCTGAGTTCTATGAACTGTTCTATCAAATGATCAGACCTGAGGAGAGGGCCATGGGAACCCTGGTTTACAGAGGGTTGGGCAGAAGCACGGGAGATCTGGGACTGGCGGGGGATAGTCTTGTGGGACTGAGCTTTAAGCTATGGGGTCTGCTCTAACTCTGGGCAGTGTCAGAACCGAATTAAATTACTGAACACCAAGCTGGCATTTGCAGAATCAGAGAATTGGTTGTGGGTGCTGGAAAACCCTCCAGGAAGAGAGCTCTGAAGTTGGCACTGGCTTTGGTTCAAACCTTTCCCTGCCCTAGAAATAAGATGCCTAAGAGCCAAATCAAGAACTCACCAGTCACCCTGTGCAGCATATCCACAGCTGGCTCTTCCAGAGCTTTTATTTGCTGTTTTACGATGGCCTCAAATGTCCTATAATTCACAAATCCTGGCAGTTCTCTGCCACGATACTGAGTTTCAAATGTCCAGATTTTTCTATATATAACATCATAACCTGCAGTAGAAAAGAATAGCTCTGAATTATTTTACAAAAATATTCTTGCAGGTTTTTCTAAACATAATACCATTATGGACTTGCTAAAATTATGAGTGGCAAGGAAATATGAAATCAAATCAAATCCAATCTGCGAAGTGAAAAATATTCAAGGATTGCAATAAAGAAACAGATCTTGAGATAATTGTCTTCAGTCATTTTGAGACAGCAAGGTGGAGCCAGGGCACGATGCCAAAAAAGAAGCAAATGCAGAAACCTCAAGTAAGACCCACTCTTGCAGAGGTACTTGAGTATGAACTTTTATAAATCCAATCTTATTTTTACAAAAGAAATTGTATCATAATACACTCCTTAACCAGAACGGTCTGGAATCAATAGCACATCAATGTGCGTGTGCTGCAGCATGAGAAGAAAGTGTCTATAAATCAAATGGGATAGCAGAGGAGCTAGGCACTTCCCATTGTGTTAATGTGATACAGTATCACTGTCTACTGTACAAAATGCTTAATTTTTCTTCACTCCTTCTGAAAAACTAACCAGGGATGGCAGGCTGGTACCCTTTCCTGGTCAGGAGATATATTCCCATAGAAATTTTTGTTATTGAGATATAGTTCACATACTATAAAATTCACCTCATTAAAAGCGTACCATTTGGTAATTTTTAGTGTATTCACAAAACCACGCAGCCATCACTACCTTATTCCCGAACATTTACATTGCCTCAAGGAAACCCCCCTCCCATACTCATCAGCAGTCGCGCCCCACTGCTCCCCATCTCTAGTCCCTGGCAGCCATGATTCTGCTTTCCGTCTCTGGATTTGCTGATTCTGGACATGCCATATCAATGAAGTCATACAATGTGTGGTTCTCTGTGACAGGTTTCTTTCTCTTAGCATGATGCTTTACGGTTCACCCATGTTGTAGCATGTATTAGCACTCGGTGTCTTTCTATGGCTGAAAATATTGCATTGTATGGTGTTACAGGCCCAACTCTGTTTCCCCAAACTCATATGTTCAAGTCCCAACTCTCAGTACTTCAGAATGTGACTGTGTTTGGAGACAAGATCCTTAAAGACGTAATTAAGTTGAAATGATGTTATTAGGGTTGCCCTAATCCAATCTGACTGGTGTCCTTATGAGAAGAGAAGATCAGGACACAGGCACACACAGATGGATGACCATGTGAGGACACAGGGAGAGGATGCTGTCCACAAGCCAAGGAGAGAGGCCTCGGGAGGAACCAGCCCTGCCTGCTCCTTGATCCTGGACTTGCAGCATCCAGAATGAGACGATGAATGTCTGTTGTTTCAGCCCCCAGTCTATGCACTTTGTCACGGCAGCCCGAGCAGACTCGCACATGTGGCTACACCATGTTCTGTTTTTTCATCTATTGGTGGATGTGCATGCACTCTGTTCCCACTTTCTGTCTAACATGAATGCTGCTATTATGAACATTCACGTGCAAGTTGTCATGTGGATGTTTTCAATTCTCTTGTGTACACACCTAGGAGTAGAGTTGCTGGGTCATGTATTTACTTTTCTGAGGGATGGCTGCACGTTTATCCAAAAGAGCTGTGCCACTGACGTTCCTACCAGCGATGCGTGAGGATTCCACATTCTCTGAACCCTCTCCAACACTTGGCAGAGTCTGTGCTTTTGACTACAGCCATCCGAGTGGGTGTGAAATGCTATCTCCCTGGGGTTTTGATTTGCGTTTCTCTGATGGCTAATGATTGTGAGCATCTTTTCACGTGCTTATTGGCCACTCACATATCTTCTTTTGGGAGAAATGTCTATTCCAATCCTTTGCCTATTTTCTAATTGGATTATATGGCTTTTTGAGTTATGAGTTCTTTAAATATTCTGGATACTACACCCTTGTCAGATATGTGATTTGCAAGTATTTTCTCCCATTCTGAAAGGGACAGGGTGGCCCTTCCCTGGCATGAGAACATAGCACATGGTGGGTGTCAGCCTCCACTCTCTGGACACAGCGGTGGCAAGTCACTGCCCCCAAAATGAGCTTCTGAAACGTCTTTCTACCGAGGAGCTCTGTTATTTATCCTCTCCTGCCCTCCGTGCCTTCTGCCAGGAAACAAATGGATTTCAAGCTATAGCCTACCAAAAGACTAAACTATCTATTTTTCCACATTTATTATTCAAAGCCAAGGAAAGCTGCTCATGTGAACTTCCAGATGGTTGAAATAAATTGTGGAACCCCATAAAGCTGCCTGAATAAAAGCAAAGTTACTTGAAATTTCCCTCAGCTGCGGTAGATTTATCACTGGATGACATGTGATTTCCCTCGGCTTCTTGAAATATTCAAAAAGAGATTTCAGAAGACACTTCCTACCTTTTTCAGATTCTTAATGATTTGAAGACACAGGGTGGTAGCTGGCATGCTGTTTTATTTTCTTGTCATTGCTGCCACGATAAAATCCATTAAGAGACATGCCAGGCTTCAGGACCCTGGCCGGTTCACTAAGACTGAATGGGGGACCACAGTGGTGGCACCACTTGTAACACAAAGAGCATGATGTTTGTGCTGCTCACTGTTGAGGGAAGACTGATTCTGCTAGAAGCTGTGACTGATTTAGGCCAATTAATCTGCATTTTCCCTTTGGTGTCCTTTGAAATCAATATAGATGTTGCCAGACTGAGTTCAGGGCCCCAGAGCAGAGTGAATGTGGCATATGTGTCTCTTGCTCCTTTTTCTGGCCATCCTCACCAACCACACCCCTTCTGTCTCAGCCCAACACAGCAGGCTCATGATAGTGCCTTGACTCTCTGCTGCGGTCTGAATGTTTGTGTCCCCCCAAATACAGATGTCGAAACTTAATCCCCAGAGGGGTGGTATTAAGAGATGGGGTCTCTGGGTATTGCTCAGGTCAGGTCATGAGGCTCTGCCCTCACGAATGGGATCAGAGCCTTATTAGAGGCTTGAGGGGGCTTGTTTGTCCAGTCTGCCACGTGAGGATGTGGCTAGAAGGTTCCATCTCTGAAGCAGACAGAGTCCACACCAGATGTCCGATCTGCTGTGCCTTGACCTTGGACTTCCCAGCCTCCAGAACTGTGAGCAACAGGTTCCTGTTATTTATAAATTATCTGATCTAAGGTATTCTGTTGTAACAGCCTGAACGGAGTAAGACACTCACCTTTTTTGAAATTAGCTTCAATCACATCACTCCACTTGCAGAACTCACTCCGGAGTTTGGTGAACAGCCGGGTATCTTCATCCCCCACTGTTTCTTCCCCTTGTATTAAAGCATTGATGTCCTGATTAAATACATTAATTTTCTGTCAAGAAGAGAAACATCAGTATAAGCAGAGATACTTCAAATCCAAGTGTAAAGGTGGTTTGGAGGTTGTGTGTGTGTTGAGGGTGAGTCACTCCATGCCTCCTACGGCCCCCTGTGGAACAAGGGGAAAGTGGAGGTGTTGTGTGGAGTATACTATAAAGTAAATATATTTCACAGGGCCTAGTTTCTTGTACTTTCAGGTTTAGTCTAACTTCTTAAAAGTACATATAAAATGTTGACCTTGCAAAAAACAGAAAATTTTCCCCAGGCTATATAATCTCTGGTGTAAGATAAAGACTTGTAACACAGCAAGGCTGCTGGTTCAAAAACAGACAAGTTACTGATTGATATGTAAAGATACTGGAGCTATGTAGGGAGACGGAATGTTTGCTAAGATCAAGCTTTTGTTGGTGGATCACTTAAATTGCCTTATAGAATGTCACTTTGCTTGTTTTACTGAATGTTACCAGCCTGTATTGTTAAACTATAATCCCACCTGTGTTCTCTTCCTGTAACTTCCTGGTCTGGGAATAAATGTGGGAAGAGAATCCCAATTTGTGGTTAATTTCCCAAATGGAAGGAATGCCTCTTTCTTGAGGGTTCTGGGAGATTAACCACTTCAGGGCTTCTCACTGCTCAGAAGAAATGGGCTTTGGGTAATCCTTTGCAGCTCTGTCACCCAGGGAAAAAGGGGGGACAAATCTGTGCGAGGCAAAGCAACAGCATTGTCCCCAGAAAACTCGATCCCTCCCTTCCACCTTTGGGCTCTTGGGTGAGAGCTCACGTGCTCACAAGGCATGTGATCCCTTTTTGACAACTGTGGATGATTCTCTGACTTGATGTAGTTGGCACTACTCACATCAATCAGGAACAACATTTTTTCATTCTCATCATTTGGTATGTCGGTGCCGTATTTCTGTAATTCCTCTGTTATTTTCTGGTGACACTCTTTTATTTGATTTTCTAACAGGGGCAGAGATTTCTGAGGAAAATAGAGAGAAAATAATGGAAATATATCATTATAAACAGGAAATGAAAAGAAGGTTGCTGGCTGGCTTCTGCAGAGCAGCTGCATGGTCCATTAGACCTCCTGGTTTCCTCCAAAAGGATGACCTTCCAGATGGAGGGAGGGCATGTTAGGACACTGCTTCCCACCCAGGTCTTCACCCTTTCCTGCTCCCATGAATGAGCCTCACGAGCTGTGCCGAGCAACCTGCTTTTCATGGTTCCTGGGCCCCATAAGAGCAACCCAAGGAGCAATTCCTCCTGTGACCACACTCCAAAAACTCTCTTCAGGGAGATTAGAAAGATCCACTTGTCTAGTAGGTTCTGAAAAAGTGGCAATGGGAACAATGTGAGACTCAACAACTTTTATGTTCTAACAGACACAAAGTCATTAGGGATATTTCTGTTTCTAACAATATGGTTTGCTGAACTTGCTGGTACACCCTGACACTATAATGTCTAAAAGTGCGGGCTAAGCGTGAAAACCATCTCTTTAAATGTATCAGTAAGCTGGTAAGTTAATGAGAGAGACTCAGGGGCCAAAGCCAGGTGACAGTAGCCACCCAGGGACTTGAGAAGAAAGCAGCCATGAAGCTAGATTTGGCCTCAAGGGCCCTCATATGGGAAAAAGACTTCAGCTTGAGCTTAACAGGTTGGCTTGGTGCAGAGGCAAAAGATCAACCACCAAGGGCTTGCTCACACCGGGCATCTAGTAAGAGGGTGGCCTCTTTCTGCATAAGGGTGGGACCCGAGAGAGATCCACTGTCATGACCTTAGACAGCTAGAAGCAACACTACCCTTCACCCACATTCCTGGGGACTGCATGGAAGAGCTTGAACTTTGGCACTGAGCAGGAGGACAAGAAAACCTGCCGAGAATTTGTAGCCCCAAGCCAGCCCTCAAACAGATTTGCTGCCCAAATTCACACTTGCCCAGGGGTCCCCACCACCTAAGCTAAGAATTTAAAATGGTTCAAGCAAGAAGCTCTCCCAGGGGTCTGACAAAAGTGAATGACGCTTCTTCCTGGAGACACCCATTTTGGACTCAGGCTTCTAGGAATACCCATAGATCAACTTTCAAGAAAGATGAGCTCACAGGCAAAATTCCACCCAAGTCATGTAGGTAATGGTGGCAGAGCCCAACGCACCAAGGATTCTGATATTGGAACCATCCAATGCAAAATACAACATAAATATGTGCAAAGAAATCTTTCAAAAGGATTGAAAATTTGAAAAAAAAAGACTATGTTCAGGCAGATATGAAAAAGAACCACAGAGAGCTTTTAGAAATGAAAAATATGTTCCTTACACTTACTAAGAAATGACAACCGTGGCTGGTAATGAGAAAAGAGGAGTTAGTACAAGGCTCCTAAGATTTTAAGTGAATATGGTCTGTCAGCCTCCTACTCAAAGTATGGTCTTCTGACAAGCAATATCCACACTGCCTGGGAGCTTGCTAGAAATGCAGAATCTCCGGCCCCACTCCAGACCCATCGGATCTGAATCTGCATCTTAGTAAGATCCCAGGGAGAGCCATGGGAACAATAACATTTAAGAAGCTGGCAAAGTGTAACTTTGTGTTTGCAGGATTCTTTACAGAGATCAGACAGTGCTGCACGTGCTTACGCAGATGTGTGTGATGAGCTCAGTCGTCAGTCTTTCTGCCAGGCAGGGAATCGTGGCCCGACCTTCCTCCAGAAGATCCCTGGAAAAAAACACAAGATAAACTCCCATCTTGATGTGCCCAGGACATGCAAGTCTGCATTCTGCTGCTGGGGAAAATCAAGGCACATTCAGTTACTGAGAACCGAATGGAATGCCCTGCAACCAGTGCCCAGCAGATATGCAGAGCTGGATTGTACACAGTTGTGACTGAATGTGAGCAATCTCAGACATTTGAACAGTGGTATAGTGGTCCCTTCTAGCTGATAGAATAAATGTGTCTCATGACATCCAACTACAGAATCGGTCTTCCTAAACATACACATATATACCTATGGATATGTTTTCATAACACACACACATACACATACGCACTTCTGTGTGTAAAGTGTACATGTAAGTGTACATAATTCATATAGGCATAGGTCTTCATGAAAATAGATTGATGCATATTTATATATGTGTGTGCATGAACACTGAACTGGGGAGACATACCCGTGCCCAAGATAAGAACCCAAACCGTGGACTGTGTAGAGAAAGGAAGCCAAGCGCCCTCTCACTCTACCCAAATTTGTTACCACATTGTGAGTTATTACAGGGTTTTCTCCATTTTCAAGGACTACTTAGGATAAAAGGCAGCAGGAAAGCTTGAGTCGAGCCTATGTGTGAGAGTACACTCAGACCCAAGCTTCAGTTGCCATACCTGCTAATTTTTTAAAAAAGTGTGGTAAAACACATATATCACAAACTTGACCATTTTAACCATTTTTAAGTGTACAGTTCAGTGGCATTAAGTACATACACACTGTCATGCCACCATCACCACCAACATTTCCAGAAGTTTTTCATCTTCCCAAACCGAAACTCTGTCCCAGTTAAACACTTACTCCCCATCCCACTTCCTCTGTCCTTGGCAATCAACATCCTACTTTCTGTCTCTATGAATTTTCCTACCATGGACTTCATAAAGTGGAATCACAGAGTATTTGTCTTTTTGTGATTGGCTTACTTCACTTAGCATAATGTCCCCAAGGTTCATCTGTTGTTGTGTGTCCTAATCCCTGCCTTTCTAAGGCTCAGTAACCTTCCATCTGACGGCTATACCACATTTTGTTTCCCACGCATCCACGATGCACACGTGGGTTGTTTCCTCTCTGGCTGTTGTGAACAGTGCTGCCGTGCACAGTGGTATGCGAGTATCTGTTTGACACACCTGTAATTCTGAGCAACACCTCTCCGCAGGCTTCTGGGAGAACTGAATACAGGAATGTTTACAACTCTCCATATCCTCATTATTTTAAATCTAATCAATTCATCGGTCTTTTCCTTTTAAAAACATTTCATCTTTGGCATGAAGGTTAGAAAAGTCTTCTCTACCCCAGGATTATAAACTATCCATCTGCATTTTCTTCTGGGATGCTTATGGCTTCTTTTTTGGCATTTAATTTTAAGCTTCAACTGATATTATTTTGTCATAAAGTGTTAAGTAAGGGCACCATTTACATTTAACTGTTTTCCAAATATTAAACAACTATCCCAACACCACTGATTGATAATCAAACTGATATAGCCCACTGATTTGAAATGACACATTTATCATGTATCAAATATATGCACCTATGTCTATTTCTGGACTGTCTACTTTCTGTTCTGTTCTATTTATATTTTTATTCTGGTTCCAGCATCATACTATTTACATTATTGTAGAAAGTCTCTCTTTACTTTGATTGATTAGGGTTTGGTTGTTTGCAATCCTTTGTGGATTGCTCTTTCATTCTATCAGGTGAGTTCCATGGTCATTGCCAAGATAAGAACACACATACACGTTCCAAATATCTGCTCTGACAGGGCATTGTCCCCTGACCCTTCTCCTGGGTTTCCCCTAGGTGGACACAGCTGAGCACACCTGAACTGTGGGTGGTCCTCAAAGAAGTCCTTCTCTCTCTGCAGAGCCGTGGCCAGGCTCAGCTGGTCCTGGATGTCCTGCTGACCACGGCACTTGACGATCATGTAACCTTTCTTCAGGTGGTACACCAGGTTCCGCACCACGTCCACCACCTTGTCTTCTGTACCTTTGTCCACCAGATCAGGCTTTGTCAAGATTCCTGTGAGCCAGAGACTTTCCATCAGGGAGTACTCATGGTCACAGAGAGAGGTGAATAACAGCTTGTGCCCCTGGCCACCGGTCTCCCAGGGTTTCCTCCCCGCCTTGCTTGAGGGCAGAGGATGGCCCTGACAGAAACAAGGGGCTAGGCGGAGCCCCCATCCAGGGAGAGAACTGCAGGGCAGGCTGCGTGAAGATGGGGACGCCCCTTACAAGCAGCTATGGGGGCTCTTCCTGAACTCCTCACCCAGGTCCACTTTATGGATATATGACATTTTTTTATCCCTTTACTGCTGTGGACATTTGGGTTGCTTTTACTTCAGATGTATTCTTTTTTTTTTTTTTATTTTTTATTTTTTTTATTTTTGTCTTCTTCCGTGTCCGGCAACGGATCGCAACCCTCAGTGTTGCCCCCGTACCGGACCGGGACCGGGACCGGCAACGGGATCGCAACCCTCGGCATTGCCCCCGCGCCTCGCTCAGCCAGTGAG